GGGATTGTAGATTACAGGGTCTGATCAATGCGGGGGGTGGGGAGTCTGGAGCAGGCTGCCTGCAGGTGGCTAACCTGCTGGCCGGCTAGTGAAGCTGAGGCAGGTAGGGGGAGGGACTGGGGTTCCCCCAGGTTTTCTGGGGCCTAGACTGTGCTGTTCAGCTGGGGAGTTGTTCACTCACCTCTTGGTCTGCTCTGTCCAGTCACAGTCTGTGCACCAGAGATCCTCTGAAGTCACAGGGAATGGATGGATTTGGGAGCAGAGTGGGACTTGTAGCTTACAGGGTCCAATCGATGGGGGGGTAGGGGTGGGGTTGAGCAGCTTACCTGCAAAGCTTGCCTGCTGGCTGGCTAGTGAAGCTCATGGCCTGAGATTTTTATCTACTTTCACTGGAGACCATTAATGTGCAATTAATAATTTCTGGAATAGTTATGTTGCTTTTTTTTATGTTTCTTATATTGCTGCATTGAGATTTACACATCTGAGTTATTTTGTTGCTTGTATGTTTTTTAATAGTTGTATTCTGTATTTATTATGTACATGGGTGTTTCCCCTGCATGTGTCTGCACCACATGTGTGCAGTGCTCAGGAAGGACAGAAGAGAGCATCCAATCTCTTTGGAACTGTAGTTACCCGGGAATTGAACCTAGGGCCTCTTCAGAGCAACAAACGCTCTTTATCATGGAGTTATCTTTTTTCTCACCCATTTCATTTTTATTTGCCTCTTGTAGAAGGAAATATAAATAGCACAAAGAATTTGAGCCCTTGGGAGCAATAAGTTGTAAGTTTGATTTTCTAGAACATTCACATTTAATACTTTAGTGAATCTTTATGAAAACAGTAAAAACTTTGCAAAAGATCAATCTATATACTTATTATCCTATAGAATATATATTTTTGCCTTTTCATATGTGGCACAAAATGTTAAGCTAAAACATTACAAGCTTTTAAAAATCAAATAGTTAAATTGTTTCATTTTCTAATCTAAAATTTTAGTCCTAAACCAAATGGCTGCTAATAAAATACAGTTCCCCAACTGCCATTTTTCTACTGAGAATGCAATTTCAATGGGAAAATACCTCTGTTAGGGAACACAGTACTAGTGTTATCAGTAGCTATGTCTGAAGAACTGGAACTACCAATCCTAGTTGCCTCAACAGCATTCCCAGGGATCCAGGTATTTTTATAACACAGATGTGAATTCGAAGCCTGTGGATTTCAGGATCTGGGTTCAAAACTCATCTGTTTACTATGCACGGCTGCTGCTACCTATAGACTGTTGATTCTGGAACGCACCCTCCTTGGTAAAGAGACAAATTACAGGTCTCACAGAAAGCACCAAACTGAGGCTTTCTCTCTGCCATAATTCAAAGAGCTGAATGGCTTTGGAAAAGAGAATGCTTTGTAGGGAATGTGGATGGCTCAAAACAACTGTGTAAGGAATCATCTGGACTCAAGTTGGTGGGGTTTTCAATGTACTATAGCAGGAAAACGGCCCAAGATGAGAGTATAAAACTCCAGTTCTGATGTTTGTTATGGTTAAACAGGAAATGTTCTCCCCAGGTTCACTGCTTTTTTGTTTTGTTGTTTTGATTTGTTGAGATAGGCTCTCATTAGTTGACTTGGATCTGTGCTTCAGAGGCTGACTTTGAAATCTTGTTCCTCCTGCCAACCCCTTAAGTATTGAGATTGCTTACAGGTTTGCTCACTGCACCAGGCTTTAGCCTTTGTCTCCAGGTAGTGGAGCAATTTTGGAAGGGTCTAGAAACTCAGCACTCACCAAACTTAAAGAACTAGGCCATAGTGGTGCAGACTCATGGAAGTTGTCTTAAGTATGTAAGTATGCCTTCCAGTTTCCCTGCCTCTGGTCATGCAATGAGTAAGGACATCCCCAACTGGCCCAGAAACACGAAGCCAAGTAACCATGGTCTAAACCTTTTAAAACCATAAGCTCCAATCAGTCTCCTTTACATTGTTTCTGGCAGGCATTTGGTCACAGTACGGGAAAAGTGACCAATGAAGTTCTGCCGCCAAACAGGCAGGAAATCAAAGACATCACACATTATTTTTTCATGAGATTAACATAGCTGATTTCAGAATTCCCATCCAGCTACCATACCCTACAATTCCTCCCTTCATAAATGGAGAAAGCATCCTTTATTACATTCTCTGGAAAGCCCCGAGTATAAAGAACTCTCTTTGTTAACAAGATCCCAACAACACAGTTTTACTCTCTTCTGAGGTCAGCCTTGGGAATTCTATGGCAACCTTTCCTCCTTTGCCTCCCATCCTCCAGTCCTTCGGGTAACTAAACCCTCGCCTTAAGGCTCATCAGGGTCTCTCCTCTACCAACACTTCAGTTCTGGCACTTACCTGCCGCATAGGAACACCCACCTGCATTCCTTGCTCTCAGAGAACAGTCTGCTCCACTCAACTCCATTTGGCTCACTAAGGTTTATACGAGGAGAACCCTTTTATTCCCTACTCTTATTCCATAATCAACATGTCAGGAAAACCTGTTTTGTCTCCAAGACGTATTCTAGACAAAATACTGTTACTGCCTTTCCTGTTGCTGTTGCTTTAATCCAGATGCACGCTAGCAATCGTTTGGATTCTCCTCCTTGCTTTTGAAACCCCATTTCCATTCTGTCTACTCGACACAGCATCCAGATGATTGCACTAAAATATTAAACGCGTCCCTCCTCTACTCCAGAGGCCTAGGGGCGTGGCCGCTTTCTGGGGGATTTCATTTCCCTCTGCTCTTCTCTGCCCCAGCTACATGGGCCCTCTTACTGTTCCTACAGTGGGCCAGAAACGTGACCACGTGCAAAAACTTTGCATTTGCTGTTCTCCGAGGAAGTCTCACTCCAGACAGCTGCCTGGCAAGTTAATTCCAACATCAGCTTCTCACGAGCTGCGTTACTCTGCCACGTTTTCCAAAACTGTGAGCTCTCACTTGTTTATGCTTACCTCAGCGCTCACAATCCAACCCACTATGTTCTATTAGGCTTATTCTGACATCCCTATTCCCCATAACAGCAGGGACTTTTATTGTGACATCAGACACCTAAAACAGCACTCACATGGTGGGTGCTCAGTAAGTATTTGCTATAGAATTGAAGGGACCTGTAACAAAGAAACATTTCATGAAAACAGGAGACAGACTAGTGTCCGTCTTTGTGTGTGGCTAAACAAAATCTGACCAGTTTTTGGTGTCATATGTAAGGAAAGCACATGCTTTTGTTATGTGATTAATGCTTTGTTTCTGTGTTTTAAGCACCAGGGAAAATATTCTCCTTATTATTAAGGCCTTACTTGGGTCAAGGGGGACGAGTCCCATCTTATTTTCCAACGGTTATTCTGTGTACCTGACCGCGTTATAGTGAACAAAAGTAGAATCTGCTATATTAGAAAACTCCCAGTTCTGAACGCTGGTGCTCAAAAGGCCTCAGGACTGAACTGCAAGAGAAAACACGTGGTTAATAAGTATACTATTAAAATGATGAAATAACTATATATTGATGTCAAATTTATCTTAGGAGTCGTAGAAGCTCCATCTTCCCGTTTGTTTTGTCTTTTTAATCCGAAAACCGGGGCAGGGGAAATAGGGAAGGGGGGGGTGCCCAGGGGGGGGGGGCAGTGACTCAGTTTACATAGTCGTCACGCTGTCACCAGAAGGGGCACCCGTGTTGCTAGGTGAGGCCCTGGCAGTCGTGCGTCCCGCGTCCCCACCAGCCCGGGACACTCGAGGGCCGCCTTCCCTTGGCGCCCAGG